GCTTCAAGGGAGCTCCCGTCCTGTGAACTCCCTGGCCGCTCCTTCCCGGCCCTGCAGGCCTGACTCCTGTGGGCGGAGATGGGGGTGGGACGTGCTGAGGAGGCCAGGAAAACTCTGGAAGCCGCCCCCCACCCAGACCTCACTGTCCCTTCCCGGCTCTCCGCCACCTCCTCTCCATCTGCCCCTATCCTCCAGGTCGCGTCCTCCTCCGACAGGGAGTCCTCTGATGGGCTTCCCAGACGCCTCATCTCCTCTGCCTGGACACGGAACCCCTGCTCAAGCCAAGCAGACCCCTGGACGTCTGGGGTTCCCTCGTCAGAGATGGCCCTTCCCAGTCTCGGGAAGCTCTCTGTCCACCAGCCACCCGCCTTGTTCTGCAGCCCCTCCTGACCCCCACACCCGATGGGGTCTCTGGGCCACCTAACTTTGCTGGTTGGTGGGGGTAATGGGTGCTGAACTGGGGTGGGTGTTCTTTGCCCCCTCCCTGTCCTTCCTCATCTGTCCTCCCAGATTGGAAGGCTGCCCGTTTCTACCTCCACATTGCCCAGCATGGGGCCTGCCCATAGTAGGCTCTGGAAGTTAGCCAGATTGGTTGGGAGAGCCATGTCCCCTCTCAGTTCTGGAAGTCCCTTTTGATGTCTAGCCTTCAGTCAGAGCTCACAGGAAGCAAAATGCACCAGGCCTGGGGACTGGGAGCCGTGGGTGGCTTGAGTGGAGGACAGGGGCAGGTGGGCCTATGTGGAGCCCCAGGCTGATGAAGGAAATACAACCTCTGCCCCGAGGATCCTCCTGGTCCCAGCACTCATAGTGCAACCTCAGGCTTGGATACGACCCTGTGGAGCCTCGGTTTCCCCATCTGTAAAATAGAATAAGCACTGCTAAGGGCTGTGTAGGGTCCAATGAGGACAGGTGGGTAGCGTGTCCCCACTCATTTGTCTTGGCAAATCTCTCCTGGGGCTTGCTGTGTGTGGGCCATGGGGGCACAGCTTGTGCTGGGGGCCTCAGGGCAGAGCCTTGAAGCAGCGTCTGTCCCGGGCCAGCCACGTGTCCTCTGGTGCCTAGTGTGCTCAACCCCCACTCCCGCTGGATGTCCACTCTCTTGGGGCCCACCCCTGCCCAGCCCCGGCAACCTCGCCCAGGAAGTCCTCTGGCTCAGCCCCAGAGCAGAAAGGACTCTAGCCACATCCCCAAAGAGGGGCCTGAGTGCTGTGCTCAGGGAGCCAGCCAAGGCTGGTGCTTACTGCTCTTGGACGTAGTCCAGCCTGGGGCGTGGTGGCAGCTCCTGGACAGAGATGCTGCAATCCTTGGAATGCACCGGAAGGCCAAGGCCGGCTAGCCTGCCACACCCTGGATCCTGGGAGCAGGAGCCTTCCTGCCCTCCCCCAGCTGGGCTCAAGGCCTCCCTGCGTCTTCCTGGACTCTGGCGTGGGACCTGGCCCTGGCCCCACCTGGGCTGGGGGTGCAGGGCACAGCCCTGCCGACTCATCTGCCAGAGCTGGGCCTGACTGCAGAAGCTCTGGTCAGTGGGCAAGCTTGTTTATTCGTGGATGGAGGAATGTTGGAGGACCTGGGGAAGGAGCTCTGGCCTGCAGCTGGCCGGCCCCAACCTGCCCCGCCCCTGGCTCACACCATTGTGGCTTGGGGAGAGGGTAGAGACTGGGAGCAGGCGACCTGGTGCAGGCCGGGGTGTCTGGAGGTATGAGGACCCCTGCCCTGAGTGGGAAGGGAGGGCCCAGCACCCCCAGCTGGCTCCTGCCTGGGGCTTTCTCTCTTGTGCTTCTGAGCTCACCCAGGGGCTGGGTCAGGCCACCATGGGCCATGGGAGGGGGTTGGAGAGGAAGGCAGGTGACTTTGAGTCAGCAGGAGAGAGGCTGGAGAAGTCCCTGGGGTGGGCAGGGAGTGCAGAGGAGGGCTTGGGCCCCAACAGGGAGGACTTGTGCGTGTGTGTGCACGCGCGTGTGTGTGCATGCATGAGTGTGTGGTGAGCAGCTGAGGTCGGAGGTCTGGTGGGTGGAAGCCTGGACAGTGGCCTGGGAGGGGGCTTTCCCTCAGACTGAGCGCTACCATGCCCAGGGAGCAGGGTCTCTGCTTCGTGAGATACTATCCGCCTTATCTGTTGATTTTCTGAGACATGTAAATATGTTCTCCCCACTTTCTTTAGCGACCTCACTTCAACCTCCTGTGCCTCCGACACCCAAGACTCCGCCTCAGCCCCATTCTGGGCTTGTTTCCTGTTCCTGGGCTGCCACCTGCAGCTCTGGACACCTAGCTGTCTGAGAACAGGGACAGGCAGGTACACACTGGTGCTGTGACATCCCAGTGGAGCACATGTGCTCAGGCACTGGCACACAGAGCATAGCCTGCAGAGAGCTCACCTCTGTTTCTCGTGGGGAGACTGGGAAAAGGGGAAGCAGGCCTTGTGACACCAGCTCGAGTTCTGTTAGGAACAGGCAGGCAGGCATGTGCGTTCCAGGAGAGAAATTCTCCCAGCCTAATGTCGATGCAGGGCAGAGCCAGGACAGCCCTGAGTGCCGCAGGTGGCCACTCACAGGCCAAGAAGGGTCATCCAGGGACCCAACAGCAGGCTGGCCGTGGGTTTCATTTCCTGTGTCAGTTCAGCACCCAGAAGGCTTTTTTTTTCCTCTTTGAGTCAGGGATCTCACTCCATCAACCAGGCTGAATTGCAGTGGCGTGATCATGGCTCACCACAGCCTCAACTTTCTGGGCCAAATGATCCTCTTACCTCAGCCTCCCGAGTAGCTAGGACTACAGGCATGCACCACCTTGCCTGGCTAATTTTTTTTTTTTACGAGATGAGGAATTGCTGTGTTGCCCAGACTGGTCTTGAACTCCGGGCCTCAAGCAATCCTCCCACCTCAGGAGGATTCCAAAGTCTGGGATTTAGGCATGAGCCACCGTGCTTGGCCAAGAAGCCCTCTTATCTTTTGGCTTTGGAAATCATTTTTCTTTTGCATCCTACTGGAGTACCCTGAGATGATCTCTGATGGAATTACAGAATGAAGTCAGTGAAAACATGCCACCCCTCACACAGCTATGCACCTGCCCACCCATCCACCCACCCCATCCACCCATCTGCCTGTTCACCCACTGCCTATCCATCCATCCATCCAACCACCCACCATCCAACCACCCACCACCCATTCATCCAACCACCCACCATCCAACCACCCACCACCCATCCATCCAACCACCCACCATCCAACCACCCACCACCCATCCATCCATCCACCCATCCATCCATCCACCCATCCATCCATCCACCCATCCATCCACCCATCCATCCATCCATCCCTATCCATTCATCTACTCATCCATCCATCCAACCACCCACCACCTATCTATCCATCTAGCCACCACCTATTCATCCGTTAATAAAACCATCCATCTATCCACCCATCTGCCTATCCATCTACCCATATATCCCCCACCTATCCATCCATCCACCCATCACTCACCCATCCATCCATCCATAGATCCATCCATCCACCCATCCACCACCATACTTCCATCCACCCACCACTCATCCAATCATCCATCCATCTACATCCATCCATCCATTCATTCACCCGCCTACCACCCACCTGTCCCGCTGTGGCAATCAGGGAACTGTTCTGCTCTGTGCTTGTTGACAAGGACACAATCACTTCAGTCACCTCTGGACAGGTGTGCTGTGTTGGGGGCTCTGGCCCCTTCTCCCAGCATCCTAGCCCCTCCCTCAGCTCCTGGCAGTGAGGCTGGCAGCTCTGGCTGCTGTGGCCTCCACAACCCTCATGGCAGCCTCTTGGCACCTTCCTGATTTCTCCTCCAATGCCTCATTCAAACTCTTGAGTACACCCAAGTGCCAGCCTGCCTGTGCCTGGCTGCGGGAGGTGGACATCGGTCAGGTCCCATTCCTGGCCTGGTGAGAGGCTGGGAGAATGCGGGCCTACCTGTCTCCAGCCCTTCCCTCAGGCAGGCACTCCTGAGTTCATGAAGCAATCCCGCAGTTCTTACATAAGCTCCTTTAGTTCTGCTGCTAGATTGGAGTGGATAAGACTCTAGCTTCTCATCAGGTTGCTTCCCAACTTGACAGGACCTGCTGCCTGATTTCGCCTGGATTCTGGGTAGGTTCCTCAAGCAGGCCAGGCAACCTACCAGGACTTCCCTATGCCGCCAGGGCTCTGCCCCTTCCACAGGCTGGGCGGCCTTCAAGGCTCCCACTGCCCTGGGCTCCCACCTCCTGGCCTGGCTCCAGGCCATGCACGGCCAGCACCTGCTGATCCCAGAATGCCCCATCTGCCCGCCTGGCCTCTGTGTAGCCCAAGCCATCCTCAGAGCAGCTTCAACGTCTTCACCTATATGGAGAAGACTCCACTGGCACCTGAGCTCTCCCAGGGACCATGAGGTGATGGTTTGTGGGGTTGGGAGTGGAGGAAGGGCTCCTGCTGAGACCGGCAGCACCTCATCCCCAAAGCCCCTCGACGATCTCCGGCCCTCCCGTCACCCCAGACTCCACAACCCCCGCCCCTCCTCGCCCCTTGCTGTCTCCTTGGCCTCTTCCTGGGCTCCCAGACCAGCCCTGAAGGTTTACAAACCACCAAAAAACCAAACCTCAGATATAATCCTTGACACATGCTGGGGCCATGCCAATCCCTTGTCCACGACCTGGGTTCTTTGCCTGCCTGCAAACAGGCTGTCAGCTCATGTGGGGGCCCCCACTGCCCCTGCCCCTGCCCCAGGGAATGCCTCTGATCCCTCCAGGGCCTCCCTTCCTGGAGACTTCCTGCCCCCTACCCCCTCTTGGCCTGGGAGGAATAACAGTCTCTTTCCTGCAGGACCTTGCCCTGGCCTCCTCTTGCAAAACCTGCCTGTTTGTGTCTGTCTGCCTGATTAGCTCGAGTTTCATGCCTGGGGAGGCCAGGGGTCAGCCATGCTGAACAACCATAAGTGGGGGTGGGGGTGATGGTCTCCAGTCTAAAC